CTTCTCGATAACCGTTTTCTTATTTTTCCGTGAGTTGATTTGTCTTTGTTACCATCTGGTTATTTCTACTTCTGTGAATCTAAACCTGTATTCTTTATGTATAAACTGACTTTATTTGAGTCTGATACCAATCACCCGAGAGAGTGTACATTTTCACGAAGATAAGAAAGAAATACGGCAAAGAAAGTAAAATAGCACTGCGTTGGCTTTACCCCTTTCTCACTTACTAACCTTTATTCTCCACTCCCCACCTGAATCTCCCCTGTTCCATTTGCTTTCTGTGACACCCTGTCCATCCAATTTCATTAAGATGCATATCCCTATCATGAATATTCTTCATGATTTCACTGTTGCTTCCCTGCTGGGCCTTGAGGCTTGATCCTCGTACCACCTTATTCCTCCTAGAATATACCTTAGTTATATCACATCCCTGTACATGATATTTTCTCCAATGCTAAGAGCAATCTATTCCTATTCCGTTGATTTCTGGATAGCAGCTTGTGCTTAAATGCCTAATCTTGAAAATTGTTCACTTCACATCAAAGTTACGTGGTTTGTTCTGTGTTTTGCTGATTTCAAGTTATTGTTTGTGGTAAAGGATGAGTAAGTTCTATGAAACGTGAAGTAAATACCTCATGGATTGAAAATAATTGTGTGTATGTGTGTATTGTTTTAAAGTGTACATCAAGAGTCAGATTATCCAGCTGTTTCTTTCTTGTTTGTTAATGCTTTGTTGGGCCTGCTTATATATAGCTATGTCTGTTGAAATGGCTTTGAAATTTCCGACTTATGTGCTCAAAGTATCAAAATTCATGTGCTGGATTCCTTCTTGTGTATTTTTTTGCATTACCTACTTTATTGTTTGATGTTGCTAATATATAATTTATATTCCCAATTTCAGAAACGAAGTGTTCTTCATTAGCTAGAAGTGAATTAGAGAGTGAAAAGGACCCAAACAACAATTGCACTGGAAATACCAGTACTGAGACAGCCCATCAGCAGGGAACCACTAATAATGTTGTTGCCAAAGCTGCGGGCAACATTACTTCTACATCTTCGTTTCCTGGTGGTAGTCTTATTCCTGAAAAATAGATATGAAAAGAAATCTAACTTAGATGAGCTGAGATAACTATGGAAGAATATTGTGTGAAGGTATGCTACAACTCTGAACTGTAAAAACACTATTCTTCGTTATGTTGCTTCTCTTTGAAGGGCGTGTCAACTGTCAAGCACACAGGCCCACCAATTAGTCCCCATAGAATCAATTTTTTGGTTATCAATTTTCTTCGACTCCGGTCATTCAAGTATAGAAATCTGAATTAATTGCTCTGCTTCGACGTAACTTGTAAATTGCAGACTTGTAATTTCATAAAAGAAGCAATGTAACTTAATTCCCCATTCTAGAGTTTTTTCCCATTTACTATCTTTTGCCTCATTCATTGTTGTATTCAAATGAAGCGAAATTACGGTTTGAACTAGAGCGCATATAAATTGTAGTTTTGTTACAGGCTAGCTTAATATAATTACATTTCTCCAATTGATGATAATTTGATTCCATAGTTAGTACTCACCCGTAATTCTTCACCATTTAAGGCTTAGTTACTGTAATTTAAATGAATGAAAATGGAAAGAAAAATATATATTGTTTGTAATTTGTATGAATAAATAAAAAAGAAAATTAAACCAAAAAATAATAAGATTACAAAATTTTTACTCTAACAAATTTTTTTTTTCGTTAATTTTTTAACATGAAAAATATTATTTTTTTCATAAAATGTTATTTTGTTGTTAAAAACTGAAAACAAAATTAAAAAAGAAAAATACTACCAACCACTTTTATGTCATATTCATATCTCTTCATCTAGAAAATGATTTTGATAGCATCATGACTGGACTTCAACATGTGCCAACCCAATGGGCTACTTTCACTACCCAACAAAAATGTAGCTATTGCTTTTTACACTCCCAATTACTAACTACACAACAACACTAATATAAAAAAACTAAAATACCTATCCTTATTGTACTACATTATAATTGTAGTCCATGTTCGTCGTTATCATCATCAAGGAAGAAGAAAAGAAGGATGAGACTGAAAAAAAAGTGCAAAAAAAATATTAGAAAGGAGAATATATTATATCGGTTCCTAGATGATATAATTTGTGCTATGGATTATAATTTTATTTTTTTTATGCTTTTAAATTACATAATATGAATTTTAAATGGTTTTTTGAAATATAATAAACTTAGTTGCTAAAATAAATTATTCATTTTTAAATAACTATTAAACCATATTGATACGTTGACTAATATGATAATATTCATAATAGTATTAAATTTGATTTAGATATGCATTAATTCATTAAAGGTCATTATTATCATTATTTTTCTAGATATAAAAAGCTTTCAAAAGTATTCCGTTCGACACCTGAACTCTAAATTTTTTTAACTTTGAAATTGTTTAATCTAAATTGATATACCAAAATGTATTGTCAGATTACAAATCTAAAAATAATATAAATTACTCAATCTCCAGTCTCCATAAATTTGATACGAAGGAATACAAAATAAAGAAAAAGATATTTAATATTTGATTCATAAAGATAAATATTGATTATACTTTTTTTACGCTTAAAAGATGATAAAAGGATAAAGCATTCTCAAGTTATGTATTAGACAAACATTAAACTTGTGTAATGTAGAAATTAAACTTCCACAATTTTTTAAATAATGTTATGATTTGTACAGAATAAATTATCATTGTTAATTAACTAATAATGAATTGTTACAAGGTATTGGTTAGAAAATATTCTGGGAAAATATAGTATTCGGAGTGGCAAACGAAAATATAGAGAATCCCTAAAGAAAAAGAGAAATACAATAAAGACGAAACGGTGTCGTTAGTATTCTGGGAAAATATAGTATTAGGAGTGGGAAGGTTTTATACTCAGAAGTGTGACATTTTGAGCTGAAACAACACACAAATGGCATCATCGAAGGTTTTGTGTAGGTTGTCATCTCGGTTACAGACACTTGCTCACAGCAACTTCACCAAACCCTCACTTTCTCTTCTCTCCAATCCACTTTCTCTCTCTGCGCGCCGCCTTTCTCGTACTTTCCGGTGAGCCCCGCATCTCCCTCACGCTTCGTTTCATTCCCCTATAGAAAAAAAAAATGGATTTTTACATTGGCATTTCGTTCTTGAAAACCTATATGACACTTTCATATGATTTTGTTTATTCATTTGTTTTAATTGAACTTTGTAATTTGGTTGGTTAGGTTACCGGTGGAGTTGGCGAGCTTGGAATCAATTATGCCGTTACATAGCGCGGTGGCTTCAGCTCGATTAGTGTCAAGCTTGTCTGTTGAGTCTAAGGGTTGGGGGTTAGTTCCTCAAGGTGTGTTCTTTTTGCGTATATTCACTAATCAGCAATGTTATTGTGAATTTCTGACATGACTTTAAGGAATGTGAGATGAGATTTGTGGCAAGGACTTTCGTTGCACGTCACACTAATAGCCCGTGTTTTTTTCTTGTGTTTTTGTATCTTCGTTTTTTTATATGCGTATACAATTAGGAGGGTGAGGTTTGAATCGAAGAGCTCGTGTAAAGTACTCAAAATTCCTAGCATTAAACCAATCCTAGGAAGTAAAGTTAATGTTTGCTATATTGTGTTGTGTACATTTCTGCTGTTTTCTGTTGCATTGCTTATGAATTAGAACTACAAGTGGGGGAGAGAAAGGTCTGATCGGTTAAACTTCTCAATAAATATTCATAGGAGAAGAAAACAAGAAAGTAAAATAAGTTGTGTTTATCTCGGGAGTTAAAATCTACTTATGCATTTTGGATTTTAAATAAGTTAGACGAGGGAGGTTCTATAAAAAAGCGAAGTGCATAAATTGATTTTCCAATACCATTACCAAATGATCAGCACTTGGCATTGGAAGTATATATATTTGTGAGAGAATTTACTTAGATGTGAGAAAACATACGGCAGGCATTCAAGGGAAATGTGTTCTGAAGTCTGGCACCAAGGGGTAAGATGAGGGAGTTCTTCCAAATGATATAGTAAATTGGTCAATATCATTTTCATTTTACCTATTGTTTTTAAATTTTGGAAGCTTTGGATCTTATGCTAGTAGATAAATAGACAGACAGATTTGTTTAGCCGTCTGATAGAAAATGTTCCACGATAGTTGCATCATGACATAAAAAAGGCCAAAATAAATCATGATGGTATTATTGTGGTGAAGTTTTGCTGCAGTGCATTTCAGGGTATGAGTGTTAACTGTTAAGTAGAGATACCTGATGGGCAAGAAGACAAATATCTAGACTTTTTAATTTTTGCATAAGATTATATTTTAGAACTCAACAAAATTAAATGTCATTGGATCCTTTCACACTTTGTTAGAAGTTGTCTGCGTGAGTAAATATCTATCTTTGATGTTAGGCTTGCTGTACACTGTAGAAATATCAGGATTTTTTTGTTAAAATACATTGTTGATTAGAAAATTGCACCCATCACATTTTTCTATCTGATTAGAGGTACTAACTTTAATAACTGGATGACAAGAACTCATTGCAATGCTTCCATTTGTGTATTTTACAGGTATTTCCATGCCTTTATGACAGCGTTTGTCTGCAGTTAGTAGCTGCAACGTAACATTTTCATTGGATGTCAGGCTCATGTTGATGTTTTCAGTTGTTGTAATGTTGAGGCTACTGACATATGATTCTTCATCTGACATATTTGAGGACACGCAGTGCAATTGATGTTGCTTAGTTCAATTTATCTTCATATATTTCTGGAATATATCTTTTTTGGTTTTTCCAGTCTATGGATAAATATTTTGTTAACTATTAATGCATTTGAGTGCATTATACCTCCTGAGGATTTAATCCATTTTATTTGTTGCTGTTTCCATCATTACTACAGTTCTATGGTATTTATAAATCATCGTCAAACCAGATATCATACTGTAGTGTAGAGGAATGCTAGCATATGGGAAATGAGGTACTTATTTAGTTGGACTCAGGAATTACATCTGATAGGAAAGTGTGTTGCAAGGAGGCTGTTGTTGTATGTGCTAATATTTCTCATATTGAATGTGAGTCTTTGAGGAAGTTGTTATGATATAGTGTAATTGTTCTGCATCTAAGGTTGACTGTTAACATAGGTGGAATGGGAACAAAATACCTGGTAGTTAGGACATGTTAAACCGTTACCTGCTGTTGACACCTTCCATTTTGTTTATGTAATCTTGTTACAGTTACATTTTCCTTTGGTAAATGCCTAATATAGTTGAATGATTTCCAATAATGGTTTGGTTTGATTTTTCCAAAATAAAAATTGCTTATTTAGTCGATATCTGAGTTTAACACTAGTTTTCCACTTCTATATTAATGTTTATGTATAACCATTGGTATGGCCAAGAACTAGAGTCTCTGGTGAGTGGCTTTGGAACTTGATTTAACTCTGCAGTTTAGAATTTGTTTCCATCAAGAGGAACTCCTTCCAACTACGACCATGTGCAGCAAAATACTTTTGTGCTTGGAAGTACAACTCTAAATTTGACAAATTTCACAAGTTTTAAAACACAATTACTGTTTTTCTAGATAATCTTGGGAGAGCTCGAGTTTAACTAGTGTCAATGAATTTGAGCTTTTGATTAACTTCATTAATTGCGGATCAACTTTGTTAAAGTTTTCCTCATGTATGTTTTATATAATGAATGGTTATTTTGGTTTACTTATATTTGAAGTAAATATAACTATAAAATTATAGTTGGCAACTTTGAAGAATACTTATTTCTTGAGAACAAAACTATCAATATTCGAATTGAATTCTATAGCTATTTATATTACAATCTATAGCTATTTTGATGTATTTTGGTTTTAAATTTTAAAATTTGATTTTTATAATTCAATTATGTTAAAAAAATTTAATGTCTTAAGCATGTTTTTTAGTTGACATTAAAGGAAGAATATGTTAAATGGTGTAGATAATTTATATTAATATGAAATGTGTTTGATAAAAACAATAACGTAATGAATTAAAATTATTACATTTATTTATTTTTAAAATTTAAAAATTAAAATATATTAAAATTTTAAATAATATATCAAAATTTGGATAATGACGATTTTTATGTTTAAACTTCGTTGATAAAAGAACTTTTGTCATTTGATAGATTAATGAAAACAGAAAAGAAAATTGATATGAAATATTAATAAGAAATATTAATAATAATATATTAATAATCGATTGGATTACAAAAGGGTAAGATTAATAAATAACTAATGACGAAATGGACAATTTCCACTATGATGACCAAAACACTCTGGTAATCGATTACAACAAGCTTGTAATCGCTTACCTGGGTGCTTCTTGCACACTTAACACTCTGGTAATCGATTACAGAAGTGTAGTAATCGATTACCAGGAACATTTTTGCCTACTAAGTTGAAGTCGTGAAGGGGGGGCACGACTTCAACACTCTATAATCGATTACAGGATCTTGTAATCGATTACAAGACCCTGAAGTCGTTTTTGGGGTGCACGACTTCACAACTGGTCAAATGAACAGTGTGAAGTCGTGCAGGGAGGGCACGACTTCTTCATTTGAAGTCGTTCTGGCCCCTCACGACTTCCAATTTAGTCATAAATTGCCCATTTTCGTAATATACTAGGCAAATTTGACTAGTTTGGTGCAAAAGCCTCTTTTTGGCCTATCTTTAGTTAATATATACTCAAACCATGTTGTGATTTGTCTTGTATCTCTTTTAGTTGTTGTGGAAGAGTTTTACTTTAAAATTCCACCTTTTTATAAATACCATAAAATTCAACTTTATTTTCACATGTAATTTTAGGTTAATTGTAGTTGTTTCATCAAAATGTATGTTTTTACTAGTAAAAGAGTTTTAATTCTTTAGAGTTATGCTTAATGTATTTATTGTATCTTCACTCCAAACTTTTTTTCTAAACATGATCATACACTTAAAATTGAATACTTTAGTTAAAAAAACTGACAACATTTTCTCTATAATCTTACACTCGATGTAACATGTGATATTGACTATTTTTATAACATTCTTACTTTTATATAACTAAATTATTTATTTATTTATATTTTAAATATAAAAGTGAATATTAGAATTTCTTGATGTATTAAGATAAAGTTTGAATATATATATATATATATATATATATATATAAAAAGACGTAATCTAATGAAGTAAAAATCTTATTTGAGCAGATTTGTATATGAAAGAAAAAACATATAATATCTTGGAGTGAGGGTGAAGAGTTATCGGAGAGAGCACAGACGAAGTGACAGATGGTGGTGAGGTAGGTGATGGCTCCCTTTGCCCTTTACTTCAACACTCTGCAATTTCGACAATCTCTCACTTTATCGTACTCTAAGCCTAACCTTTGTCGTCTCTATCAACCTCGCCCTTCAAACAACATCGTCACTTTCATTTCCATCAAAAGAAAACAAACTGCAACTCGATACTCTTATCTCAATTCTCTACCTGAAACCGCTTCATGGTTTGCCAAGACAGCTCCTTTCGCTTTCAGAGACTGCAGGGGGTCTTTGGAAGCAAAAGCTACCATCAGTGGCAGCAGTTGCACGGTTACCGAGAAAGTGGAAAAGAAGATGAGGAAGAGAAAACTGGATAGGGATAGCCCGCAAGTGAAGTTGAAGAATGCTTTGGACATGTGTTCTAAAAGAGGTGATGTTATGGAGGCGTTGTCCTTATATGACTCTGCAATCTCAGAGGGTGTCAAACTGGGGCAGCACCATTACACTGTGTTGTTGTATCTGTGTTCTTCTGCGGCTGTCGGTGTTGTTCGACCGGCTAAAAGTGGAAGTGGTGCTAGAACTCTCAACGCACTTGTTTCCTCCGACGGACTTCTGAATGAGGGGTTGAGTGGACCAATGGACACAAATGACTCATCTTTGGAGTTGGATTGCAATGCTGAATTAAATTCTGGTTTGAATTCCACTCGGAAAGATGGGGTTTTTCTGGTGAGTGAGGAAGACAAAAGATATGCACTGCAGAGAGGGTTTGAGGTGTATGAGAATATGTGTGTGGGTAAGGTTCAAATGAATGAGGCTGCGCTGACGGCTGTGGCTCGAATGGCCATGTCCGTGGGTGATGGTGACATGGCTTTTGAGATGGTGAGACAGATGAATGACTTGGGGATAAGTCCTAAGTTAAGGTCTTACGGTCCTGCTTTATCAACATTTTGCAATAATGGGGAGATAGATAAGGCATTTGCTGTTGAAAAGCACATGCTTGAGCATGGTGTTTACCCTGAAGAGCCTGAGTTGGAGGCTCTCTTGAGGGTGAGCATAGGAGCTGGAAATAGTGACAGGGTTTATTATGTGTTGCACAAATTAAGAAGTAGTGTGAGGAAAGTATCTCAGGCCACTGCGTCTTTGATTGTTGATTGGTTTAAGAGCAAGCAGGCTTCAAGAGTTGGGAAGAGAAAATGGGATAGGAGATTGATAACGGAAGCAATAGAAAATAATGGTGGAGGCTGGCATGGGCAGGGTTGGTTGGGTAAGGGGAAATGGGAAGTTGCTCATACAACCATTGGAAAGGATGGAGTGTGTAACTGCTGTGGACTGCAGTTGACCACTATTGATCTCGATCCTATTGAAACTGAACATTTTGCCAATTCAGTTGCATCTATGGCCATGATGAGAGAAAAAGGATCAAACTTCCAGAAATTTCAGGTAAGAAACTATCATAATTTGTATTTGATCTAATCTAATTAATGTTATAGATTGATGATGTTGTAATTGGAATATATGAAAATGTGCATTGCAGAAATGGCTTGACTACTATGGACCTTTTGAAGCGGTGGTAGATGCTGCAAATGTTGGCCTTTTTGGCCAAAGTAGGTTCATGCCACACAAGGCAAGTTACTGAGTGTGGAAAATACTCTTATCTTTTCTTCCCTGTTTGTTGTTCTTGTTATGGTTATTAATTATTTTCTTTTGAGATGAAAACTTTAGATCAATGCTGTTGCCAACGAAATGCGCCAAAGGCTCCCTTCAAAGAAGTTTCCACTTATTATTTTGCATAATAAGCGTATCAAGGGAGACAAAATGGATGAACCAGTCAACAGGGCATTAATTGATAAGTGGAATAGTGCTGATGCACTCTATGCAACACCTTCTGGATCAAATGATGACTGGTAAGAACAAATGTTATTAACATTTTTGTTATTTGTTTCTACTGGTTAGGCATGTCGTGCTGCATTTACTGACCTGTGTTTCAGGTACTGGTTGTATGCAAGTATAAAATTTAAATGCTTACTTGTTACCAACGATGAGATGAGAGATCATCTATTTCAACTTTTGGGAAATGACTTTTTCCCCAAATGGAAAGAAAGGCATCAGGTAATGCCCTTTGGAAAGAAGTGTTTTCTATTAGATCTTTGTTTTTATTGTCATACTGATTTTATATATCTGATGAAATAATGTTTTAGTCATGGTAATTGGTTAAATCATATATAGACAAATACATCTGCAATTTAAGGTTTAAATCATTGGTAATAAGGTTTTGTCTTGAATTTACATTCCCTTTCTTTGATTATGTGCAATTTAAGCCCTTCGTAACATTGGAATCCCTGTCTACCAAATTTAAGGTACGCTTCAGTTTTTCTGGTGGTGGTAGTCCAGTGTTTCACATGCCCCCTCCTTGTTCTGTTGTAATTCAGGTAAGCTCTTACCCTGTTCGAAAAGCAGCAGAGCATGAACACAGATTAAATTATATTTGTCTGCATCTAAATTTGAAACAATAAAGATGTGAAGAAAAGAAAGAAAGAAAGAAAGAAAGAAGGAAACATAACATGGCAATTGTGGTAACAGGAATCAGAGGAAGGCCACTGGCATATTCCAATTGAAACAGAACTTGATTATGAATCAGAAAGAAGATGGTTGTGCATTACCCGTGCTAAACTAGACATGGTTTGTAAAGATTCTTCCGCATCATTTAAAGGTAATTGATGGCGCACTCACTAAGGACTCTATCTGGTTTGCACTTACATGGCTGCTTATACAACTTATTGTCTTAATTACTCTTGTTTCAATGAAATTAAGGTATTCTTTATGATAGTAGAAAGTATTTGTCAAAAATAAAATTTTAAGCAGTAGTAGCGACAACAAATTCATTACCAAAATACATGGTATATAGTAGAAATTCATACTTCCCGACAGGTGTTTTAAACCCATACGTTGATGCTTCTTGTATTAACTCTTCATTACATATGCTACCCAAGTACATCTGGACTGATATAAACTCAGCTAGCTTGTTTTCTGTGACGATGAACATTGGGATTTCAGATGGTCAAAGGTTAGGGTTGGAAATGCAAGAACTTGTTACTCGCTAAATATATGGTCAAAGGTGAAAACACTAATTTGAATTTATTTGTTCTTTCTTTATGCAATGGTTCATGTAACATTCATGATCTTCTATATATACTTATCTAGGTCCCTTTTGTTATTCACTTTTCTTTTGACATGTAGAGTCACTTCTCCACTCAATTAAATAGCATAGGCTTTTGAATTGTACTAATAAAAAATAGAAAATTCATTTCATTACCTCAAAAGAAAAAGAAAAGGATTTACAAGGTCATACATGGCACAGGGAGTTCGGTGTTTCGAACATAATTATTAGTAACTTTAAAAATCTAAGGGTAGCTCAAGCACAATGATCTAACTCTTTTAGTCCTCATCATTTAGTCTGATAAACATGTCTGTTACAGCTCCAATGTTTGCCATCGTTATTTATTGCCAATTATAAAGCTTTTTCCTTTTAATCAACTTAATGTTATGCTAATCCCCTCCTCGTTTTCTTCCCTTTCGTTAGACTCTAGACACTTGCATAAAGGAGAACGTGCAAGATCAACTACTAAAAATGCGTCTGAAAAGGAATCACAACGTCAGAATCTTTTCAACCACGAAGAAAAAAGGGAAACGTCTCAGGAATTGTATAAAAGTGTTAGAGATAATTTTTTAGGACCCGTATCCTCGGATAATAATAACTCTATATTGTCTGACATTGAAGCTGCAGAATCGATTGGTGGTTGTACCATTGATTTTCAGATATAGAGTTGCCATTGTCGTGTTGATTATCTTGAGCTATGCACTAGAAATTATCACAGTGGTTTGATGTGAAGCTCCAATATAGTTTTATATTGCCGGGAGAAATACAAAGGATGATATGTAGTTCTAAATTATTATCTAGAATTAACTTCTGCATTCAAAACGTTGAATTGTTGCTCACACATGGGACAAGATACTATTTCGTGATTATTTAACCGTCATCACATAGGACAAGATACTATCCACAGTTGATAGTTAATGGACAGAACAGTAAATTTCAATTAAACAGTTCTTTGTCATGTTAACGAATCATAATTAAATCAAATTTGAACAGCAGAAGGCATCTGCATGTTGCATACCATACTGAAGATACAAGTAAAAGTCACAGGTAATCAAGTTGGTTACTAAATTTGTATCTTCAGTACTTTTGTGACTGTGTGACGTTGATGTTCAAATATCCGTGCTTTACCAAACCACCTTTTCCATCTTGCTACCCGGTACTTCGTATGTGTCTGTATCATGGTTGGTTATTTTGTTTCCATCTTCCTCATCTTCACCCAAATCTTCCATTTTTGACGTTGTTTTGTAATAATAACTCACCCAATTAAGGCTTCCTTAGAGGGGATCATTCTAAATCTCACAAGGTTGATCGAATAAAATAAGATTGTGTATCTAACAGGTTCCATTTTGTTCTAAAAGAATGTGAGGTGAAAGGCTTTAACTATGCGTAAGCAATTATGATTATTTTAATTAAAAGTTCACATGATATACATCCTACGTATACATACATGTCAAATGAAACACCACATGTGCTAAGCTGTTTAAGCCTCCAGCCAAATAAGCCCTCCAACAAGTCACGTGCCTTTCAAAATATAAATATAAATATTATTAGCAACGACATATATCATATACGTAAGTGAGTGACTTGTTCTTATCAAAAAACTCAAGATGACAATCTCACTGAGTAATTATAAGCCACTGTTTGTTGCATGATTGACAATATTTAAAGAAATGACATCCCAGTAGGGCCTGTTATTGCACTATACTGTGAGTCATTACTTTGAGGTTTTAATTAATTAGATGCCCATCATGGTAAAAAACAGAATATCACGGGACTGAAACTGTTTATTTGTCATCATGCTCTATAATGTGTGTGCTGGCTGGTCATGGGCTGCAGAATCTGTTTTTTAGGAGCCTTGTTTGCTTCATCACATCACAAGCCTCCAAAAGCCAGATTACATAAATCCTCTTATAATTACTTGCTGAGCCTCATTCAGAAAAGTGAGCATTATATTAGATCCTAAGTTTACAAGCATTAAGCTTGTAGCAATATGATGGAGTTGAATGTCAGGTCTATAGCTGATGCTGAGGTAGAAGAAACCATGCGCTTTGACAAGTCTCTTCAGGTTCACATCTAGACTCTACAATACTTTATATGTTAGTTATACTTTTAAGTTCAATCTTATGTTCATGCATATGGCGTTTGCATTGCAGGAGCTGAGGGAACTAAGGTCTCAACTACACAAAGCAGCTGAATACTGTGAAACAGCTTTCTCTAAGAGTGAAGAGAATAATGAGTGAGTGCTCTAAACTCACCATGCTCTAAGCCTAGAGTTAGCTTTCATTTTGCCAGTTTGATTGTCTAAAAAATCTAGCTTTCGTAGTTGTTTTTGTGACTAAATAGATTCAGATGTGTTTGAAAGAGTATATAAGCTTGAAAGTGAAGAAACAGAAACTTGTACGAGACCTTTGAAAAAACTTAGGATGTGTCTAAATGTGGAGTGAGTGACGTACTCAAAATCTCAAATTGTACGAGACAGAAATACTGTGTGTATAAATATAAATGGAAATGAATTACAATTCTCACTACTAATAATTGTGGTTGGTTGGGATGATTTAGTTGCTGTTTTAAGAGGTTACGTATTAAAACCAGTTTAGTAGTTCCTGCTATGTTGCTTGTGTTTTCTCATTCATATTAAATATAGTTTGTTTGGTTGGTGCATATGTTGACGCGTGACGAATTGGTATTGGAAAATGTTGCAGTGTGGTGGACGACACAAAAGAGTACATCTGCAAGAGCATGGTCACTGTCATTGATCATCTTGGAAACGTATCTTCCAATCTCGATGGCCTTATTTCTCACACTAATGCATTTTCTGAAGCCGAGTTACGAATCCAATGCCTTCAACAAGTTAGTATTACTTCACACAAATTCATCCCTTATTTAAAATTATCTAACCAAGTTTGTATTTGTTTCTTGATAGAGACTTCTCTCGTGTCAACAATATGCTCGCAAATTGGCCCTCTCAAAAATGCAATGCAATGAGAATTCGTTGAGATTTCATTCGCGTTATTTATCACCATGTAAAACAAATATTCCCTTCACTCCAAATCAATCACATCGTTGTACCATCACAAATTCTTTTCATTTATGGTATTGATTTTTATGATCTGCAGCACCTTCCCTTGTTGAGAGATCAAGCAGTAAGAAAGTAACAAGGTAATTAATACTTCTCCATTCATAGTTAACTTGAAACTGAAATATATGTTAGCTAATATGTGACTTTTTCATCAATCAAATGAAGAGATTCCGAAAGTGAAGCTCCTTTGAAGTTAGATGATAAACATTTATCAGAGACATACGAGGATTTGCCACTCTTTATGTACACCCATAAGCCTCCAGTTTATCAGAATTTGAAGCCAACCACAGGCACACTTAACAGCCACAATAATTTGGCCATGGGTAGGTACTATGTAGAACAGTATTAAATATCGTTATCTCTAATTTTGGGGTTTCATCTCTAACATTTTGTTCTTAAACATTTTTCTGCTTTAAACAATAGTGGCACCAATTAAGGATGGTTTGTCCTTCTTATCGAAAGTTCCAAATCCTAGATTCCATTTCCAAGTAAGTGTGTCCTCTGTACTATACAAAAAAATTTACATTTTTACGACTATTTTACCTTTATACTTGTGTAATGTAAAAGTTTACTATAGTCCTAATTCTTTTTTTTTTATCTGTGCATGTTTTTGTATATGCAGAGTACACAGAAGGTTGGACGCCACAGAAGATCACTGCATGGTAGTGACATCTTATGGCTCTTCAGGCGTTCAAAACGAGTCCAGTGAAAAACCAAGAACCTATTCATGTGCAAATCTTCACTCTTCACATAGTTTATAATGTTTTACCAATACAAGAAAATATTTGTATTTCAAGCACAGTGAAAGTTTATCTTTTTTTCGTAAGATAAAGGTTTTCTTAAATCAAGATTTAGAGTTAGAGCATCTGACAGTGTATAAATGCTGATCTAACTCAATTTCCGAAATGAAAATGCTGAGGGCAACTACCTAAAAACTGGTCCCAAGTGCGACCAAAATGAAAGGAGCTGAAAATAAAGGATTTTAGCTATGATCTTAGATGAGAGTGAGTGTAATATATCATCATAATTTTACTTGTTTAAGTGAGAGAGTGAACATTCCGCAAGTGTTTGACTCAAAATGTACAAGTTATTTACCTATTTTTTTTTTGTGTATTCAGTGTTTCCTCTCTAGCCTCACTAATATAGTATATCAATTTAATATACTCAATCAAAATACTATCAAAATTCAACATGTGTATAATTCTTGCACTGTATCCGTACACACTTGTATAAAGACATGATACAACGTCAACAAATTCAGAACCCAACATAGAAAGAACAAGGACATAGTCGATCTACCCAACCACTCCCTCTGATAATTACTCATTACTCTTTTTGTGGGAATGATTTTAATTTTAATTTCACTATTCTAAATAAAAAATGAAATCTATAAAAATTATCTTTAATCACTTATTCTCAAAACCGTCTTAAAAAACAAAAATTTTACCTGTTAATTGACTAATAACAATTTTATTTATATTTATTGAGTTTGTTTAAATAATTCATTAATACATATTAAAGTATCAATTATTAATACATATTAAAGTGATACTTAAACATAGGACTTCCACAGTCAAATTGGAACATCAACTATAGCCTACTTCATCTTATTCTACACAATACACTGTCTTTTAAGAGTAATTTGTTCCTTTTCTTTTTATTAAAATTCTAAAGCAACATAACTTTTTGTTTATGGAAAAAAATTATAATAATTAACTTATTTAAAATTATATATATATCATTGATTTTTTTTCAGTGATAAATATAGGTGGGATTAAGTCCCTGAAATTCAAACCAATTGAATACCGAAAAATTTGATGATTAAGCGGTAGAGTTGAACAGATATAAAAAAGAAAATGGAAATGCCCCACAAGGATTGGTTCAAAAGAACAATTCTTATTTATATCTAGAAATTTTATTGGTAGAGTGAAAATAGTACGGAGAAAAAATAAATATGAGAAAAATAAATAGATAATAATGCTTGGGAGAAAGGAAAACCAGGAAATCATGAAAATGTGATTTGTTAGTTAGTTTTACTCTATTATTTTATCTATTTTCATTTTTTATATTTTTTCAATGTAAGTTTGACAAGATAAGAAAAATTTGAAAGGGTACGTAATTACAAAAAATAGAGCAAAAATTTGTATGTTTGATTTTAAATTTCATAAAATAAAAATAAAAAAATAAATAATATTTTAATAATATGTTTTTATACAATTTAATATATATACATTTTTTATTAATTGCTGAAGAAGTATTGCTTTTGTTCTGTATTTACAATAGTAATTAATTATTTGTTTTCGTGATAGTTGTTTAAGACTTTTTTTTATGTAAACCAAGAAAAACGTTTAATCTTGTTTAGTATAATTACTATGACTATATGTTTCAGTTTTTATTTTATTTTATATGTTTCAGTTTTTTTGTTTTAATATATTACTATGAATAATTACTTTTTCGATGTTATAAAAATTAATTTTCTCACTTCAAATTATTTGAATTAAGAATATCACTAGAACAAAATTATGTTATTTTGAAATTTAAAAAAGTGACTGATAAAAAGTAATATTTTATTAAATAACTGAAATTTAAAAAGAAACGAACTCAACTCAACGCAATTCTTAATTGAAAAATACAATACTATATATATATATATATATATATATATATATATATATATATATATAGTAGACTCT